AGAGACCCACGAACCCTGATGATCTTCACTCTCTCTTTAATCATCACAAGATAAGTGCACATCAGACCCAAGTGAGGAACTGGTAAGAAAATATGTGTGAAGCCCCATCATTGAGACTCTAGGAAAATGCAGCAGTGACACCCACTGAGCTTCAGAAGCTGTAGGAAGCTCATAATCCACTCAACGGGTGACAGGTCTTTAGTTTTCTTCTTTAATATCTATTTGTTATGTTTTTACTCATATAGTTTCCCTGAATTTAATGAGCCTAAGGAATTTTCTTTTAACATGCTCATCCATTGTCTTTCCTCCAGAATCCTTCCTATGGCTTATATATGCCCTTCCACAGAAAACATGATATGTAGTCCTTGTACCAAAATCCAAGACTGGGTTCTTTATCTGAAGCTCGGTGAACTCAAGTTTGGATCCTACAGAGAACTGGAAAAAATGATGATTCCTCACTGACATGTTAAGATCCTATGGATGGCATCACTATGAAAAAACAGGTAAGTATTGGAAACCAGGGAATGTTATTTTCTTCAGTGAAAGTATGATGATACCTGAGAACTGATCTAGGCGAGCTCAGATTGCCTTAAACTTGTCTCACCTGTGGTGATGTTATAACAGAGGCTGGGATGCTATGCTCTCCTATCAGCTCTGTGGAAATGGCAGGAGAGGGGCTGTTTATTCATAAGTTCAGTCATTAGACAGAGCATCTAGAAGCTGTAGACAAGATCTAAGGCTGGCTCTACAAAAATTTCATCTTCTCTGTCCTCCCCTTCCAACATCAGTTTCATATACTTGCATGAGGACTATGTTCCTGACTAAGAGGAAGCTGATACATTTAGCATCGTACCCACAACAGCTTAACAGACACAGCAAGCTTAGTGAATGGCTCAGTAATTGAAAATGTGGTCCAGCCAGACTAATGCCTGGGACTGGCCATTGTGATTTCCTCTTATTTCCAACAGACTTTCGATAATTCTTTTTAAAAAGCTTTGTTCTGAGATGCGTTCTGAGATCCACACACCACAGTTCTTGTATTTTCTTTATGATTATAAAGTAGATGGGAATCCTTAAAGAGAGGAGAGCAAGGGAGCTGAGAGCACTGGATGTATTTGCTACTCTAAAGTAAATGAAGGGAGGAGTTAAACATTACTAATTTCCCATGATTCCATGACATGTCCAATAATGAGGCTGAGTTGTCCATAAAGCACAGGTTCTCATCAGATACCATCTCCTTGTCTTGAATCTGTGTCCCCTGAGCTAAATTTTGGTGAAAGGTGTCCCAGAATTTGTGGCTTTCACAAATGTGTACCTCCCTGATGCTTCCTAAAAGTCATCTCAGGCCCCTTTTCATTGTCCTATTTGTAGATAGAGGAATCATCAACATTGTTTCATGTCACAAGAGCTATGAAATATATATACTTCACCTAAGTGAACAGCCCAAGAAGTATGTTGCTGGTTTACAGATCTGTGAGTGATGAACTATATTGTATAGTTTTCCTTGCTCTTTGGTGTCTTCTGTATACCCAAGAATATACATCCAAGGAGAGATGCATGGATGTGATGAAGAAGATGGCCACACTCTCAGGTCATGTGCTTCCCAACTTATACCGTGGGATTCTACAGATCTGAGAACAGCAGGCTAAATACCATGTTAGCCAACTATGGTAGGGTATAATGAATTTAAGACATGGTATGGGAATGTTTAATGTTGATATTTCCCAAGGGGGCGAATTAAAATGTCAAAATGGTGGGAAAGAATGCACAATTGCCTGTGACCTCCCTCAGTTTCTAGAGAAGAGTTACAGAAAATGATGCTCCCATGCTTCAGTCATTCTTCTGAAGAAAAATAACATTGTTGTGCTTTACATAACCGTAAACATGATTGTCCAAGACACAAGCTTCTTTACTGAACTGTAAACATGTAACTTTGTTATCTAACAAGCTATAATGATATGAATGAGACTTGGGATGTTGGAATGTTGAATATTTGCAGGACATAACCACATTACAGGTTAGGAATTCTGGAATTCTGTCATTCCTACAGTGCCCACCATGATTGTGAGATGTGCCCTGAGCAAAGCCTCCCTTTTGAGCCCACGTGAAGAGAACATATATAGATGGAAACTATGCACATAGGACTTCATTCTGCTCAGGCGAACCAGTCCAAACTGGACCTGCATCTCCAGCAGAGGACCCCAGTGTGGGATTCCCAGGTCTGCCCATTCAATGATAAACACTGAACAGAGACCACTCACCATGGAATTGGATTGAGCTGGGTTTTCCTTGTTGCTCTTTAAAAGGCAATTTACAACAAAGAAGTCATGCTGAGGGTGTGAGTGGACATGGGTGAGAGGGAAGGTAGACATGTATGTCATTTTCCTGACCAGAATCCTCAGTGTCTGTGGTATCAAGTGAAAGGTCCAGCTAGTTGAGTCTGGAGGAGGATTGTTGCAGGCTTAAGTAACACAATAACTCCCGTGTACCACCTGGATTCACTTTCAGTGATTACTACATGACCTACATCTACCAGGCTCCAGGGAAAGGGCTGGAGTGGATTTCATACATGTGAAATTGGTTTTTCAATAAAATATCCCAATCCTGCCAAGGACCAATTGACCATCTCCATAGACAATTTAAAGTACACAATGTATCTCATAATGGCTAGTCTGAAAGTCTATGTTACAATCAAGCATTACTGTGTCAAAAATGCACATGAGGAGACATGCTAGACACAGCTGCAGGGTGTCCTCATGAACTTCAGGGGCAGTGAGAAAGCAGCGAGTTCAGAGTCTCCCTGAGCAGGAGCAGAAGTACATGAATGGCTGCAATCCCTGTGTCTGGGCTGCCTCTGCACATCACAGAGACTTTCCAGAAAATCTCTCCACACGTGTGCTGTGTAGGCATATTTGAATTGTTCAAATATAAAACAGTATGTTCAACTATGATGTATATATTTAAATATAGGGTGTACTCTGACCCAGTCCAGATGGAGACCATCACACAGGGAAGAACTCATTCCACTGTGGGCACCAACATTAGATTCTGAAATAATTTAGGAACTCTGAAAAGTGGGATCCCCTAGACTTGGGGAAGAGTCTCAGCTCAGTTTCATGGTTGAAATAGTATAGGATTCAAGTTAAACAGAAAAGTCCGACATGGTCAGTGATCCATGAGTCCTGAAAAGCTGTACACTCACCATAGTCCTCACACAATGTGTGTACAGCAGAACAAACACTGACCAAGTGGTCTAGCTTGTCATGGGATGTGTGGAACGCCATTGATCCTGGGAAGGCTCCTGCATGCAGACTAGGAGAACAATGCAGCTGGTGACATACCTGAGCCTCAGGAGTCTGTCCTACTCAGCAGGTAAGGTGACTTTGTGCCTCACCTCCCTTTCTAAGAAAGCTGTTGGATCACTCTGTTGGTTGGAGTTTATAGGTTCTTCTGTGATCCTGGGAGCTGACATGTGTGAGAATCATTTTTCTATTCATCTTTCCTTTTATGTATTTATTTGTGCTTTTTCAGTGCAGATCATTGAATTCACCAGCACTGAAGAGTTTTCCTTTTCACATAGATTCATTCTTTCCCTTAGGCTTTCTTCTTCACACCCCTTCACTTTGTATCTGTTCCCATGAGGATGAGGTGTGTGTTTGGTCTCCATGTTGACATTACAGGCTCAGGTCCTTAATATGATCATTTAAGTAATATTTTTAATAAAATAACCAAATTTTTCGTATCTTTGCTTAAAAGCATGGATCTTCTCAAAAGCAAAAAAAAAATACATTTCAGATATGTGTCTCTTTATAATAAAACAATAGGAAAGGAAGGAAGGAAAGAAAGAAAGAAAGATGGAAAGAAAAATCCATGCTTGCTTCATTTTAGAAAAATAAAGAAATGAGAGGAAGAGCGAGGAGAAGCTGTGAGCGTCCAAAGAAAGATTGCCAGCCTGGAGCAACAGGAAGGAAACTGAGAGGAACATTCCTGAGTCTTTGTTCAAAACTGGGAGTTCTAGGAAGTGATCAAGGAAATTGTCCTCAAGGTAGATTGGACATAAGGAAGCCTGTCCCCAGAACTGGACCTTCCCAGTGCTTCTGAGGACCTCAGATTCCATGAAAATTTGAGGATGTGTTCAACACAAACAGTTACACAGTTAGTTACACACTTTTTTCTTAAAAAAAAAAAGCATTAAGATGGAGATGACTGCAGCCTTCATGGATACGGTCAAGATTTAAAGGACTTCAATTTGTGAGGGAAGGAAGCCACTGCTGGTGAAGCAACTGCCCATCAGAGCATTGGAGTAGGAGGCCTTTAATGTTCCACAGTGATGGACTTTTAATAAACTATACTATTTTGAAAACTTTTCTTCATCATTATTTTTTTGAAAATTAATTTACAGTTGCAGTGTGTCTTGGCCATGTCCTCACTCAGCTCTTTCCTTCCAATTCCCCACGACCAGCCCTCTCAACTTCATGTCCTCTTTTCATAACACAATAAACCCAATTAGCATCACCTATGTGATTGTGGGAAGTGGAGTCACTTAATCTTCAAAGGCAACCAATCATTAGCCACATCCACAAATAAATGACTCTCCATCATTTTATGTATCTATATCCCCCAGCAACCACCATTGAATGCAGAGTCTATGACTGTTCAGTGCTAAGAACAAACAACTATGTGAGTGCCAGTCCACAGATAGAATGTCTACATCACAGCCTCCACATCCCCCACTTCCCTACTCACCATATCCCTCCAACCAAGGCTCAAGGACATCACTAAAGACTGGGTTGAAGAATATTCCAGCATGGGGAGGCATGCTGTGAGATGGAGGCCTCTGGACCTCACAAGGTAATTACACACAGGAGCTCACAATAGCTATGGATCCGTGTACAAAATGCGCACAAAAGTAAAGTAGGCCAGTTAGATGGTCCAGCATGTAGAGGAGACAGGCTGCACTTGTCCGACCCACCTGAGATTCTCAATATTTTTTTACATAGCAAATAACGCTTAAAATTAAGACTTTTCAAGGTGTTTTTGAAAATGAGAACACAGAAATGGTCCAAAATCTAAAGTACAAAGATCACAGTGCTATTAATGAAATCTATCACTGGCAGTTTGTCAAGGAAAATAAAGTTAAACTGTTTGGTAAGTACTTGTTTTATGCCCATAGAGTAGAACTGTTATCAGCCTTGGTCAAAGAAGCCTCTTTCTGAAGCTCGACATTTAATGCCTGGATCAATGACAGCCATAATACTGAGAATAAGTGATTGCTGAAGACTTACACCAAACATATATGTGTGTGTGTGTGTGTGTGTGTGTGTGTGTGTGTGTGTGTGTGTGTGTAAATACTGTGTCTGCTGAATCACAAGAAACAAAGAAAAAATGCTTAAATGAATGCAGGAACTGAAGGACAAGGAGGACATTGGCAGAGCAGGTTGATGTCTTGTGGACAAAGCGCAGACATTACAATTATGCACACATAGTAGTAGCAACATGCTGAACGTCTTCACAAAAAAAGGAATGTAAGGAAGTGATGGAAGAAAGAACGTGGGAGTGAGTGAGAGGGAGGAGGAGGGAAAGAGGAAATAAGGAAGTAGGAAATTTGAAAGAAGTCAGGGAAGGAGGGGAGGAAGAGAGAGAAGAGACATGAGAGTAGGAGGGACCAGAACGTGTCATCAGGAGTGAGAGGCAGAGGAGAGATGGCAGTAGGAATGAATGATTCACAGATTCTTTTGGATAAACCTTATTCTGCCTCAATGTTCATAAAATGGCTGCTTCTTCATCAGTAAAACCTTTTTCCCTGTTTCAAAGTAAATATTCTCCAGTTCTCTCCTCATTAACTGTGCTATTTCAGTGTAACTAAAATATCAGTACAGGCTTTCCCGCAGGCCTATCTGATGAGGTTGGATACTTTCCAACTGAGATTCCCTCTTCCCAGATGACCATAGCTTGTGTTACATAGACAAAATTCTAACAACCATACAAACATACAATTTGGTATTATTGTAACATGACCCAGTAATGAATGTCTATGCGTCCACTAGACATAAATATATAAATGACTGAACAAACACTTAAAAATAAAGTTCTACCTCACAAATAGAAGATAATTATAAACATGTTTGTCTTTACCATGAATACCATTCCTTTCCAAATGACTTTCTCTTAGTGAAGTCCTTCTAGAGAGTTTCATGGGAAAGGAAAACCCAAGTAGCATGAGAGTACAGTATTCTACACAAAAATCCCTGAGGTAAGCAAAGATTAAAATACTTGAGTAAGGGGCCTCATACCAAATTCCACAACTATAATGTAAGAATGTAAGAATGATAATGATTCCCAAGATTTTATAGCCAGAATAAAAATATCAGACAAACTTGAGATGAGGTATACTGACCCTGATGTCTGAAAAATATTCTTCTAACCCTCAGAGCATCCCAAACAAGGACAACAGAGAACCCATACTGGTGAGTGCCTATCTAAACTTACTCATGATGTCTGTCACTGCAATTTTAAGACCTCTCTCCACCACTCATATCCATAGTACAAAGATTATGAACAGAAGAATGGAGGTCACAAAATGTGGGGTGTCCAATTATAAAGAATGGTGGATGGTCTCTGGGACTTACTCAGCAGGTTATTTTGAGCTATTCTCTTCCCTTCTCTGGTGATATACTTTACCAAGTCATGGAGAAAAGCCCTGCAATCCCTTGTTCTCTGTGGTGATCCCCATCTCAAGGCACAGGATGCCACATGTTCAAGCACATCCCCTTCTTCACCACTTGTCATCACTTACTGTTATTTCTCTCTTGTATTACTTAAGTTAACATAACCCTCAAGCTGGGTTGCATGCACTGTTTTTTTATGAGGTGTTGTAAACACCTGACTTCCCAACCCTCACCAATGAAATCATCATTGTTTAGGATTTGTTGTGTTTTACAAGCTGAAAAGAGACAAAAAAGAGTGATGTAAAAGTACATGGAGATAATGGACAGACAGGCAGGCTGACAGACAAAAATCATCAGGTAGTCCAACTAGTCTCCAGATATCTTGTTGCTGAAAGGGCAGGTAAACACTGTATGCCCACTGACATGGAATCAGTGTCAATACCTTGAGTCTCCTCTGAGATAAACATTTATAATCACATGCACTAAATGTTTGTGAGTTGTTTCTTCACAAATTGGTGAAGTAAGAAGGTGAGTAAGAAGAACAGATTACCTCCACTAACAGAAGATTTCCAGTAGTTCCTTAATCTGGATTTGACATCATTCTAAATTTCAACCCTCTGCTTAAATTTACCAGAATATACAGATGCATCGAGAATGTGGTAACCTGTTCTGCTTGCACAGAGTCGACAATGTTTGTGAACTCAGTGCTTTTCATCCAAGGCCTGCATAGTACAAAGTATGCAATTTCCTGTTCAACAAGAATTAGAAATCCAGATGATACTAGAAAATTTTCTTCAGTTTTCATCTCCAGTTCCTCTAGGAAGCACAAGGCAAATCTCAGCCACCTAGAGGGGAAACTGGAAACCTTGTCCTGCACTTCCTTTTATCCTCTCAGGAACCTCCCACAATGCAAAGCAGCCCTCAGGCTCAGGATGAAAGCCCAGGCCCAGCTGAGAAGCCCCATCTTCTTCTCACTAGAGCCTCCAGCAGAGCATGGCTGTCCTGGTGCTGCTCCTCTGCCTGGTGACCTTTCCAAGCTGTAAGTGGGTCAGGGTTTCAGGAGAGGGACCCAGGCATATCATCTATGGGACGTATGACTGATGGTGATGTTGTTTGTCCCCAGGTGTCCTGTCCCAGGTGCACCTGAAGGAGTCAGGACCTGGCCTGGTGCAGCCCTCACAGATCCTGTCTCTCACCTGCACTGTCTCTGGATTCTCATTAACCAGCAATGGTGTACACTGGGTCTGCCAGCTAAGGATCTGGATTGGATGGGAAGAATAGCATGGAATGGGAACACAGAGTATAATTCAGCTCTCAAAACCTGAATCATCATTAGCAGGGACACCTCCAAGAGCCAAGTTTTGTTAAAACTGAACAATCTGCAAACTGAGGACACAGCCATGTATTACTGTCAGATACACAGTGAGGGAGCTCTAGTGTGAGCCTGCACAAAAAGTTCCCTAGAGACACACTCAGGACCTGCAGTAGGCGCTGAGGACCAGCAAAGACTTCCCAGGACCAGTGTCAAGTCACTTCAGAATCTAGGAAGTTCTGGACTATTGGACATGTGCACATGTGTATATGAATCTCTAAACAGTCTTATTAAATAAGAAACACACAGTCAAATACAGGGTGCAAGCTGTAGAGATCAGAGCAATAGCCACCAGCTAACCTTAGCTCACCACCAGTAGCTTCCAAGAGAACCTCTTCCTGTCTAACCTGCACTTTTATTGCTTTCCTATTGTGCCTTCTCATTGGCTCTAAGCCCAGCCACATCACTTCTTTGTCACTGGCTGCCTATACAGACCTCCAGGTCTCTATGGTTGGCATTGGGACTAAAGGCGTGTGTCAACACTCTTGGCTGTGCCCTTGAACACACAGAGACTCAGCCTGTCACGTGATTGGATTAAGGGCATGTGCTACCACTACCACTACCTGACTTCTGTTTATGGCTATGACCTCTGATCTCCAGGCAAACTTTATTTATTAACATACAAATAAAATATCACATTTCAGCACAAATGACATATCACCACATTTCTCCTTTCTTTTCTAATAAAAAAATAAAATAATATAGTTATAACTCATATAAGAAAAGCTATATACATTAAGTACAATAACTGTATACAATATATACAAGCAATAAATACATCAACAATGTCTAGTACATTTGCATTTGGCAAATTCAAAGAAAATATTCTATTATCTATTCTATTTTGGTAAGTCCAAAATGTCCCTGAATCACTTCCTAACTTATTTTACTAACAGAGGGTGTCATTAGAAAAGAAAAGGGGAGATGCCAGCCCATCATCCAGGGAGCAGCATGTAACTGAACACACACATAAAGCCGCTAAACATGTGCGAACATATAGATTAACAGAAATGAGCTGAGTTTAAATGTAAGGATTAGTCAGTGGTAGGTCTGAGCTAAGGGCCTAGCAGTTTTCATTAATATAAACTTCTGTGTGTTTACTTGGGTCTGAGCAGCTGCGGACTAGGTGGGACACAGGAAAAGTTCTAGCTACACACATGTTTTAGAACCTGTGATTCACCTCCAGCCAAGGAAATCCTCTAGCAGCCCCTCTCCAGTGTCATATTCTAATAAAATCCTATTTGTTCACACAGTAGAACAAATCGTTTTCCCTACAAACCCTCTAAGCTATCCAGTTGCTTCTTGTTATCCCAGAGACGGGCACATAGTTTTATACATTCGATAGATAGATAGATAGATTTCTTTATATATGCAGATATTTGAAAAGGATGAAACAGTGCTGAAATGTGTTGACTGTTAAGTTCAGTAAGTAATCTTGGGAATTTTGAAAAATCTTTAATTCATCCTCTTTACTTTTGCACTTGTAGTAGAGAAACCACAGCTTCCCTGACCTACTGTCATTTTCCAAAGACACCATGGAAACACTAATATCCATGGTTCCGTTTTTCTAAGCCACAAGAACCACAGAAAAGTTTACACTTGGTTATCATTTTTGACAGATCTTATTTTATACATTTGTGTCTTGTTGAAAATAAGTTTTCACTCAAAGTTCTAAGCAATGATTCCTCTACATGCTGAATGTCCAGTTTTTGTTTTTGGGGGATAACTCATAAAATCTACTCTTGCCATATATGAAGAACAGGATATGTAGTTATTAGCTGTCATCACATCCATACAACTCATTATTTGAGACAATCCCTACCATCTAACTAATTAATCTTCACACTTTCATTGTCCAAACCAGGAATACCCTGACATAGTTTTACTTTACCCAAGAACTGTTTCCTAGGTTACACTTGATAAGAGGTCCTTTTGTTCTCTTGTTGTCTGTCTGCAATTTAGAAAATGCCCTCCAGATTCATTAAACTCAGTGTGGTATGTAGACTCTTGTGAAGAGAGCTACAGAAAACAAGAGAAAAAAGGTTGGTAAGTCATCCAGGTGCTGGGGAAACAACTGGGTATTTATGTTCAGTTCCTGACACACTGTATTTAGTATTTAGTATTTAGAATTTAGTATTTAGTATTTAGTATTTAGTATTTAGTACCTCATAAGCACCTGTAAGCACAGAAGACTCTTGCTTAATTTGTCTCCATGAGCACTAAACTACCCATACAGCAACATATACACATAATTAAAAATAAAGTATGTCTTTAATTTTTTTGACATCCAGCACAGAAGGCATTATGATTTAAGAGTTTTTGAGTAGTATAAACAAGGCCTTGATTCAAATGTTTCTATTTCAAAAACATATTCCTCATTTAGATTGCTTACTAGTTTTTTTGAAACATCATTACTACTTGTTAAAGGTTAGAACACTGTCTCAACCAATAGATCATTCTCATTTTTCTTCTCAAGGGCAACTCATTTCTATCACTTAATCTGAGTCAGAAGGATAACAGATATCTCAGGGAACATGGAGTTGAGAGGTAATGTCTTCTCATTACCGTCCTGCACTCCATTCCCTGGTTGGGCTCCTTCATCTTGACCAATCCATGTAGGAAGAAAAGATTGCATAAGGCCAACTTCTCTAATCACCAGAGAAATGGATATTAAAGCCAAATGAATAAATTTTCCTTGTAACCAAGGGAATGGATGCCATTTCCCCAAAGAGAGAAAGCAATCAAGTCTTAGGATGGAGAGGAAGGGGTCCCTGTGTAATGTCCATAGGAACATGGTCCTGGTATGATATTAGCAGATATTGTGGTGGTCCCTGAGAGAATCACACACACAAGACCACCTGACCCAGCAATCTCAATGCTGGGTGAGTGGACAAAGGAAGAAGAGAGGTAGGCAGGGAAGCAGGGAAGGATGGAAAGAAGGAAGGAATGAAGAAAGAAAGGAAGGGAGAGACATGAGAGAAGGCAGAGTCAGAAGGGTCATCAGGAGTGAAAGGGAAAAGAGAGAGTGTAGTGGGATGAACTAATATAATCACAGTACATCATAAACTAGCAGGGTATTTTGTTTTTAAGTAGAATGAATGACAGATATCATAAGAGAATGTTCTTAAGGTCATAGGATGTTAATATATGTATACCTGTCTGTCCTTGTATGTGTGTCTCTGTGTAGGTGTGTCTCTGTTTTTGTATGTCTGTCTGAGTGTCTATGTTTGGATGTTTGTGTGTTTGCTTGAGAGATGCATATTTTCTCATAATATGCATTGTTTACATTTCAGAAGTTATCACAGCACCATCTGTCCACAAAGCCAATTTTAAGGGTCAGGCACCCAGGGAGGCTGTGAGTAGGTGATTGACTTCAGGGACTGGGTCTCCATTCCCCTGAACAAGCCTCTGTAGACAGCCTAACTTCCCTTCCTGTCTAAGACCCCAGTGACTCTCAGAAAACCAGTGGTTGAGACACATCTCAGTAGCCTGACCAGACTCTTGGTAGGAGTCATCATCTAGGGATGCAGTTTCTTCCTCCTTCTCCTCTTCCTCCTCTCTCTTTTTGCTTGTCGGCTTGGTTGGTTGATTTCATTGGTCCTCCCTACTTTCTTGAGATTGATGCTCAGAATGTCAATCATTTACACTCTCTTTCTCTGCTGTGTTACAGTAAGTCATAAGTGCTGGACATAAGGAGAGGAACGTGGGGAGGTTTGTGTTTGTTTTAGGATTACATAACCCACTGCTATAATTAAAACATTAGCTGTAGGAAAAAAAGGTGATATTTTGAAAGATAGGAAGGCTAGGCAAACAGATCTATGTTACTGTTTGCCTTTTATCTGCAAGTTATTAACTTTAAGAACCCATTCTAATTTTTAAAAAGAAATCAGAATTTTACACAGAAAAATGTCATTTCTCACATTCTTAGACATAGAAGAGGCAATCTCATGGGCAGATGGGGAACAGCAGTAACTAGGGTGGGAATTGCAGATGGAAAGTGGTGTTTAATGGAAAGGGAACAATGATGAAGTGAGTTACAAAAGTTCTGCTCTTGTGTTCATAAGAAACAATTCAGCTAAGGTCTGCAGCATCCATGACAGGCTTCTAAATAACAACAAACTATGTGTTCAACACAGGGAAGGGCAACGTTTGAATGAATGGGAATGCTAATTGGTGAGACTGTGTGTGCATATATGTATGTTTGCACTTGTATGTGGAAGTCACAAGCAGATTCTGAGTGTCTTCCTCTATTGATCTCTAGCTTATTTATTGAGACAGGGTCTCACACAGAACCTGGAGCTCACATGTTCAGATAGAAGGGTTGGATGTCAATACTCAGAGAACCTCCAGTCACTACCTCCCCAGTGCTGGGACTAAAGAATAAACCATCACACCCAGCTTTGTAGTTAAGTGCTGAGAATCAAACTGAGATACTCATACTGGGAGGCAGGCACCTCACCCTGAGCCATCTCCTCAGCCCTGAATTTTATCGTAACACATTCTATACATTAATAAAAATATTAACCTACAAAAGAAATACATAAATTACATGATTATTTTTAATACTGAAGTATATTTTAGTCAGAGAAATTTTCATTTAAATTATAATGGCGTTTGGTACATGAGAATTGATTATATTTATGATATATAAAATATTGTATATTCCAAAAGTTTACAATAATGATATTACATATTACGGAAGCATTTACAAGCCCACCTAGAATATATAATTTTATATTATATTGATATTAATTCTCATAATGAAAACAAAAATAGTGGTGTAGATATTTGTTCAAAAGTTCTTGTAAAACATATATTCAGAATAATTGACCTAGATGGAGATGCTTTAGCTTGATGGGGATCTTTTTTTTAGATAAATTGACTCTTAAAACACCCACATATTACTCTCTTCAAATGTGATTACACCTCTGGTTTTCAAAGATGTATGTGAAGTCCTTATTGTGCTCCAAGACAGTACTTCACATGGAGACATAGCAATTAACATCAGAGAAACTTGAGCTCTATTACCTTGGTCTGGCATGACTACAGAATTAGGGCTGATTTTAGAGTCACTGGAGACAGGTGTGTAAACAGAGGCTCCTGGAATGTCAGACTAACAGCCAAACCACACATGCAAGTCATGTACTGGGTAGGGACAAAAGCAAACGATTTTTAAAAGAGAAAATGTATTGGCAATTATGGGTTTTTAAACCAATCATTGTCTATACAAAAATTAATGTCACAAAGACAATCTCTTAAATGTCCTTAAAACTCTGCTGGTTGTGGAATTGGCAATTTGTAGAGAGGAAGGATCTAGGAAAAGATGACATAAAGGAAATAATGATCAGAATATTTTGCATGGAAAAATATTTTTCACAAAATTAATATTTTTAACTCTGTATGTGATGGTTGAGAATGGTTGTGCACACCTTTAAACCAGTCACTAGGGAGACTGTGGCAAGAGAATCTCTCACAGTTCAATATCAACGTGGTCTACCTAGTGAATCCAGGCCAAGCAGAGTGAACCTATAAAATGAAGGGGGTGGGCTGGGGGAAGGGGAGGGGGGCCAGAGGGGGGAGAACAAGGGAATCCGTGGCTGATATGTAGAACTGAATTGTACTGCAAAATAAAAATAAAATAAAATAAAAAAATGAAGAAAGACAGAAAGTCAGTCCATCTACCTGTGAATATGTTTCTGCATGTGAACAGGAGTCTCTCTCTCTCTCTCTCTCTCTCTCTCTCTCTCTCTCTCTCTCTCTCTCTCTCTCTCTGTGTATGTGTGTGTGTGTGTGTGTGTGTGTGTGTGTGTGTGTGTATTTGGATGTGTAACTGCATGTGTGGCTGTGGTTGTAGTTGTGCAGACCCCACATCCAACTTCTCATCAGAAGACTTTGAAATTATCCTAGTGTTTTCTCTACAGATGTGACCAACATTATGATCAAACCAAGGAGGGAAGGAAATGGGTTATGTCATCTTAAATCTTACAGCCATCATGTAGGAAAATCAGGACATGAAATCAAAGGAGGAACGTGAAGGTGAAAACTGAATCAGGAACCATGAAGGAACTCTGCTTACTGGCTTGCACTCCATGGTTGTTCAGCATGCTTTCTTACACAACCCAGGAACACCTCCCATGGACGGCACCACCCCCATCAGCCTGGACCCTCCCACACCAATCATTGCTCAAGAACATGACCCCACATTTGTTCTCTCAGAACAACCTGATGGAGGCCTTGTTATTCAACTGAGGTTCCTTGTTCCCTGATGACCTAGTTTGTATTATGTTGATGAAATTCCAACCACAACACAAATGTACAACAGGATACTGTCATGAAAACATGACTCATTAAGTGAGTATCCCTGCATCCACCAGACATAAGTAAACAAATGACTGAACAAACACTTAGAAATAAGAATCCACCTCTCAAAGAGGATGTAATTATACTTAATGGGTGGATTTATCACGAACTCTTTCCCTTTGTAAATAACTTTTGCTTAGTGAATTTCTTTAGGGAACTCATGGAAAAGGGAAATCCAAGGCGCAAGGGAGTACAGAATATGGATACAAACGATCTCTGAAGTCACGAAAGACAAAAATACTTGAATGATAAGACTTATACCAAGTTCTCTAATATGGTATGAGAGATGTACATTTATTTCTGTAATACTCCTACCCAAATTTTTGTTACCTCAATGAAATTATCAGATAGACCACCATGAGACATACTGAGAATAATGTCTGAAAATATTCATCTAACACTCAGAGCATCAAGAATGTGGGAAGACAGCACTCATAGTGTGGGTGACCATCAGAGCTTGCACAGGATGGCTGACTCCCTAAGGTTAGGACCTGTCTCTACTACTGCCACTCTGAGTACAAAGACTATGCACACAGAAATAAGGGACACAAAATTTGAGATCTCCAGTACCAATACAGACATCCTCTGAGTGCTAACTGAACAGGTGGACTCCAGTTCTGAACTTCACATCCCCTGTGATGTAGGTTAGCAAAGCATGGAGGAAAGATCTACACACTCATGTTCTCTATGATGATCAGCACTTCAAGGCACAGGGTCCCCATGATCATGTCTACTTCTTCTCTACTTCTTGTTTTGACTTCAGCTTCTCTGGCTTATTTTCTGCTTTAGTTAACATAAACCTCAAGCCTAGTTGAATACTATAGTGCTTTATGAAGTATTATGAACAGCTGATCTTCCCACCCATTACCAATGCAATAATCATATTTAGAAACGTGGGATTTTCTGTGTTACATGCTAAAAAGAGGTATAAAGTACATAGAGAAGGATAGACTGACATAAATCAAGAGACATTAAATCTAATCTCCAGGTATAGTGTTCACAAGTGAGCAGGTGAAGAGGTTGAAATCAGTTTCTTGGGTATCCTCACAGATAAACACATGATGTAATAATGTTAGTGAGGTGTTTCCTCACAAGCTATTATCTAGATGAGGTATGAGAACAAGATTGATCCCACTGACACCAAGATAATAAATTTTCAGTTGTTCCTTAAGCAAAGTTTCTAATCACTAAGAGGTCCAACTCCATCCTGAATCCACTTCAGGTATTTATAGAGATGTACAAATGCATTTAGGACACGGTACCCAGTTCTGCCTGCACTGTGTGAATAAGGATTCACTTAGTATAAACAATCTCATAATTTGTTTGTCAGGTCTGCACAGTGTAATTCATACTATTTCCCATTTCTCAGTTATTGCAAATTCAGAAAAATAACAGGAAAATGTTCCTGAGTTTCCATGTCCAGTTCATCTAGGAAACACGAGGCAAATCTCAGTCACCTGAGGGAAGAGTGGAAGCCTTGTCCTGCACTTCCTTTTATCCTCTCAGGAACCTCCCACAATGCAAAGCAGCCCTCAGGCTCAGGATGAAAGCCCAGGCCCAGCTGAGAAGCCCCATCTTCTTCTCACTAGAGCCTCCAGCAGAGCATGGCTGTCCTGGTGCTGCTCCTCTGCCTGGTGACCTTTCCAAGCTGTAAGTGGGTCAGGGTTTCAGGAGAGGGACCATACATGTCATCTATGGTACGTATGACTGATGGTGATGTTGTTTGTCCCCAGGTGCCCTGTCCCAGGCGCAGCTGAAGGAGTCAGGACCTGGCCTGGTGCAGCCCTCACAGACCCTGTCTCTCACCTGCACGGTCTCTGGGTTCTCATTAACTAACTATGGTGTACACTGGGTCCGCCAGCCTCCAGGAAAGGGTCTGCAGTGGATGGGAATAATACGATATAATGGAAACACAGCGTATAATTCAGCCCTTAAATCCCGGATCACCATCAGCAGGGACACCTCCAAGAGCCAAGTTTTCTTAAAACTGAACAATCTGCAAACTGAGGACACAGCCACTTATTACTGTGCCAGAGACACCGTGAGGGAACTCTAGTGTGAGCCTGCACAAAAACCTCCCTATGGAGACCTCTGATACCAATAGGGGGCACCAAGGACCAGCAGAGACTTCTGAGGACCACCAGTGAGGTTCACTTCAGAAGCTATTAAGTTCTGGACTCTGCTGAATGAGCATGTGTTTTAATGTCACAACCTGTGGTTTCCTCTTCAAGCCAAGGATATCCTCTAGAGGTCCCTCTGGACTCTCATATCCTATTCAATCTTCTATGTGTGCACATATTAGAACATTTTTTCCCACACACCCTCTAAGCTATCCAATTGCTTCTGATTACCAGACAGAATGGCACCTAATTTTATATATTCTGTGTGTGTGTGTGTGTGTGTGTGTGTGTGTGTGTGTGTATCAATTAATATTTTAAAAGGAGTCTGAAATTACGACACTTGTTGACTTTAAGTCCACTGAGGAAGCTTGGAAATTTTTAGTAATTTGTAATTTATCCTCTTTGTTTATGAACATGTGATGGAGAAACTACAGCTTCCCAAAAATATTATCATTTTCCAAAAGTAGATTTGAAACATAAATATCCATTATTTCCTTCTTCTAAACCAAGAGAACTTAAAAGAGTATACTTGGTTATCATTTGTGAAAAATTCTATTTTCAAAAATTTTCATCTTGGTAAAAATTAGTTTGCTATTATGAATAGTGCTGGTATGAACATAGTTGAGCAAACGTCCTTGTGGTGTGGTTGAGCATATTTTGAGTATATGTTCAAGAGTTATTCCTGGTTCTGGAGGTAGGTTGATTTCCAGTTTTCTGAGACCTGCTCTACTGATTTCCAGAGTGGCTGTGGAAGGTTACACTCTCACCAGCAGTGGAGGAGAGTTCCCTTTCTCCACATCCTCCTCAACATAAGCTGTCACCAGTGTTTTTGATCTTAGCCATTCTGACAGGCGTAAGACGGTATCTCAGAGTGGTTTTGACATTTTTTAAAGATATGCATATTTTGTATACAGTGTTCTGCCTGCATGTATGCTTGCAGGCCAGAAGAGGGCACCAGATCTCATTCTAGGTGGTTGTGAGTCACCATGTGGTTGCTGGGAACTGAACTCAGGACCTCTGGAAGAGCAGTCAGTGTTCTAAACTTCTGAGACATTTCTCCAGCCTAGATGCCTCTCAACTGAAGAATGGATAAAGAAAATGTAGTACATTTATGCAATGGACTATTACACAGAGTTACAAAACAATGTCATCATGAAATTTGTAGGTAAATGGATGGAACTAGAAAAAATTCATCCTGAGTGAGGTAACTCAGACCCAGAAAGACAAACAAAGAAAAGGATAAACAGGCCACAACCCACAGTCCTAGAGAAGCTAGATAAAGAGGAGGACTCTGAAAGGCTAACACATGGATCACCCCACGAAGGGGAGAGTTTTAAGATCTCTTTTGTTACCTGTGAAGAGGAATGGAGGGGAGGAGATGGGGAGTAGGGTTAGAGATGGCAGAGTTAAGGGAGGGACAGAGAGGGAGAGAAATGAAAGAGAGATCTTGAGAAAGTGAGCCATTATGGGTTTAGGGAGAAATCTGCTGCTAAGGAAATCCCCAGGAACCCACAAGGATGTCCCCAGCTAAGTTTCATAGCAATGGTGAATAAGGCACTTGAACTAGCTTTCCCTTGCACTCAGATCAGTGACTAACCTAATTGTCATCGTAGAACTTGCATCCAGTGACTGATGGAAGCAGATGTAGAGACCCACAGCCAAGCATTTGGCGAAGCTCCTGGAGTTCATTTGAAGAGAGGGAGGAGGGATTATAGGAGCAGGGGGGGGTCAGGATCTTGATGGGAAAAACCACAGAGACGGCTGATCCAAGCTAGTGGGAGCTCACAGACACTAGACTTACAGCTGGGAAGCCTGCATGGGACCACACTAGGCCCTCTGAAGGAGGGTGACAGTTTTGTGGCTTGAAGTGTTTGTGGGTACCCTGGCAATGGGACCAGGACTCTTCCAGAGTGCATGAACTGGATGTTTCAGAGCCCATTCCCTACGGTGCCACGACTTACTCAGCCTTGATGCAGAGTAGGGGGCTTGGGCCTGCTCCACTTGATAAGCCAGCTTGTGTTGAATATCTAAGGGAGCCCTTACCCACTAGGAGGAGTGAGTGGAGGGTAGGATGGGGAGAGGTGCAGTGGGAGAGAGAGAAGGGGAAGGAGGGGGAACAGTGGGCAGCAGGTAAAATTTAAAAAATCTTTAAATAAATAAGTAACCCTTAAAAAATAGTTTGGACCCAGAGTCACCAGCAATGAAAAGGGCAAAGCACAGAAAGGCATATGTGCTTGGGTATACAGGAAGTAGTTCTCCCTTTGATTGAGAATTTCCTAGCAGCAATAATGTGGCTGACTTCTTTCTGCTCCTCTGATCTCTCAACTTTCCCCCCAATATCTGGCTCCTGGATTTTTATTAATAAGACTGACTAGCAATTCATCTTCCATCCTTTTCCTAATTTTGACACATAAGAAAATGTCACCTCAGTAAGAAGTGCCAACTAAATAAATAATAAATAATTATTTTACAAAACATGTCTAGATTATCCTGTGAAAGATTTTATGTAAATAAGTGATAGACCCCACCAGTTCTCAGTTGGTCAGGATAGTGGTTCCAGATAAAGTACCTGATCTTAATTCAGACACAGAAGATGTAAAAATGAAATTTAACAGTTCCTTGTAGCTTCAAATCTGCTATGGTCTTTTCCCACTTAAAATCAGATTATTAGCATTTTTATTAATTAATTGTTTGAGTGATTTATAAACTTATTCATTATTTACACATCAGGCAAATTATAAATTTTTGAGACTTCTACATTATTCTAAGTAATTAAAGGACCCCAGAAATTTAGTAAATCATAGATTCACATTATAGTTATGAAACACATGGTGTGACAAACAATAATGTAATAATTTTTTTTACAATTTAGAAAGTTTAAATATAGTAATTAAATGTCTCCATAATCTAATGGTGTAAAATAAAAAACATGGGTTTGAGTTGATATTTTTCAAGAAATCTCAGTGGAGCACTGTATGAGTTAGGACAACCAACAAGGTTTTGGTAATGGGTTCATTCCTTTCTGGCCTGCATTTATGATAACATGAACTGCTTCTTTTTTAATTTAATTGAAGTTGAAATTGTCTGTATTCACCCTGTCTTACAGGATGTTTTCAAATGCATGTCCAGTGTTGAATGACCTTAGCTTTATTGTTTGAGGGCATACTTAGTAAGATCTATTCTCTCCCTTTTTGAAAAACAAAATTTGTTGTTATGACTCATCCATTATTAACATTTGTAATAATCCTTCCCATGAAACCGATTATGCTTCTCTCTAAAATATTCAAGCCAAGGTCACCCTGCCCTAAATACAACTTTACCTGAGACCAGTTTTTTAGGTTCCACTTGATAAGAGGTCCTTTTGTTCTCTTGCTTTCTGGCTGTCATTTATAAAATGTCCTCCGTGTTTATCCAGATTCCTGTGATATTCAGCACTTTGTGAACATAGCTGCAGCAAACATGAGAGGTGAGGTTATGATTGATAATCCAGGTGCTGGAGAAGCAGCTCAGTAGTTAAGAATGATTATTGTTCCTTACACTCAAATTGGTCACCTCATTCCACCTGTAAATACAAAGGACTGAGACCCTCTTTGGCCTTCATTAGCACTAAAATACACAGAAGCATATACACATAATTAAAAATAAAATATTTGAAATATTCACTTCCAGTGCTGGGAGCTAACTCAGTGTGAGAATTTCTGTAGTATAAATGAGGCTTTGATTCAAATGTTAATATTTCAGAAATACATTCCTCATTTTGATTAATAAACATTCTGTTTGAATCATCACTACTCCTGTTAAAGGTTAGGATACTGTTTGTCTCATCCAAGAGATCAGTTTCATTATTCTTCTCAAGTAGAACTCATTTCTATCACTTGCCAGAGATTTGAGTCATCAGGATAACACATAGCTCAGGGGATTTGTACTTGAAGAGTGATGGTCTCATCAGCAGCCATCATTTTAACCTCAACTGCTCACAGTGTGAACACTGTCCTTTCCAGACAAATAGGAAATATGGAAAAGCGACTACTGAAATCTGCCAAGACAAGGTAAGAAGATTTTTCAAAATTCCTGCTTCTGCAAATGGTCTGTTAGATATTCTAGGCCTGTAGCCAAATTGGATGCCTCACCAATGCTGAGAAACTTTAGGTGATTGTTCAGGCTGCCATCTCTGTCTATTCTTGCAAGAATTTTGGAAATTGCTTGCTTGCACTTCCTGTATTCACAGGTAATATTATTTTCCTTCTCAGGTCTTTGATGGGGTTGAAGAATAGATAGTTACAGTTATAATCCTCTTATATCTTAGCAAAGACTATTTCAGATACTAAAGTTATAAGCTCCAGGATAGGACAGCTATTGGAGTAATCTCAGTAATTTACCCTCTACCTATGATTTGGACATTTCTGGACATTTATCATGGGTTTCTGGTTTGATGTTGTTATTGTTGGTTTGTAGTCCCATTTTTGTTTATGTTATTACCTTTTGTTTTTCCTGAACAATATTTCATAATCATTCTTATTGTAGATAATTTGTATTAGGTCTAGAACCTTCTTATTTCGACAAAAAGGGGAAATGTAGCAATATTTGCTCCACCCATGACCTTGGGCTATAGGGCCTGAAAGAGGCGGTGTTTCTTGCTGTTGTATGTGACTTCTTAAAAGGATGGGAGAAGGGTCAGGAGTCCCTTCTCCCTAATGCCTGAAAGGTGGATTAGCTCCCAGTCAGATCAGAGGATAACTTCAGCTATCTACTCCATTCTGTATTCATGAGTATACTTCTTCATAATAAATTTCCCTAATGCTCCTTAAACAGACTCATGTGGATTTATCATATTAACCTACTTCAGACTCAAGCCGGAAATCATTTACATGAATTTAGAGAAAGCTTATTCTAGAATTAGTGAGTATTCTAAATAACCATTAATATAATGAAATAAAGTTCATATGTGTGTGTGTGTGTGTGTGTGTGTGTGTGTGTGTGTGTGTGTGCATGTTAACTGTATAAATTGAGAAGATACTTAGGCTTTAAGAAAAGTTTTAAAGAGTCAAAATATAATCTAAGGAAATTAGTGACAATAGATTAGCCATTTAATTTTCGTTTTCTTCTGTTCCATACCATTTGGATCTTCTGAAATGAGACAGAGACTTTGGTTTTTCCTATGACAAGCATGCTAGGAGTTAAAGAAGGGGAAAACCACATTCCAACGCCAAAGCTAGCTTGAACTTTTAATTGAATTGGAACTACAAAATGACCGTTTTTCTTATATGTCTGTAGAAAACAGCAGATCTGGAGAGACACGTAAGAATACTAAAAGGAGGAATTAGGATACAAAAAAGAAAGAACTTTTCTCATGTTAAAAATTGGCAGCAATATTGTGGTACAGAGAGTTAAGACTCTGTATGGTTCCACAATGGATGCTTTGAAAATGCAAAAATTAAATGAAGTGATAACCATTTTAGCTGGGATTGACATAATGTTGATCATAATTATGGTCAGTTTGGTAATTCATATTTTATCCTTTAAAAAGTGGTTTGATAACTACCAAACAGTGCAACATAGGAAACCTACCAATGCCCAAGTCTCAGAAAAAGGAGCTGCTCATGATGACAGCATAGGAAGAACTGTGCAGGGGTAACCAGCTGCTGTGGGGATGCTCAGCATGTGGGCAGGGAGGGCAGGATGCTCCTCTGTGCAGGGAGGTGCAGTGACCTCCTGAAATGCAGACTTAGGGAAACGGGTAGGAAAAGCCCATGGAGCTGGGATGCAGTACAGGAGGCTCCCAGGCCACCTGCCATGAGTAGTGGTGGACAGCTGCCCAGGGAGTTCAAGGAGACCTCTGCTGGCTGTCACTGCACTGCACAACTGGGCAGAGGGCACAGGCAGTGCAAGGCCAGGCTTAGGCACAAGGTGTGCAAGGGCACAGGGGGACCTGAATGACAGAGCCAGCTGGCGGTGGACTGCTCATTCTGTCCCAGTAGACTGTAGTGTTTAAAGCCAGGAGGGTGGGTTGTGGCCAGAGACTGCCTCAAAGAGACCGCAGCAGGAAAGGCCCATGACTGACTGGAAGGGTCTGGGGTGAGGGGTGAACCTGGCCACAGTGGTGTCAGCTTTGCAGCACTGGTGTGATC